AATTTGATAAACTTTCCACAAAAGCAAATCTAATCTCAACTTTCATGTGTACTCAGTTTGCAGCCTTAATTGAAACTTTCAACAAACTTAAAGAAAAAACAGCTATGCTAAAAATGCATGGTTCAGCTTACGAGTTATTTCATTAATTCAACTTAGAATTTGTCCGCTTGCTTATTGGTTTGTTATTTGAATAGAATTTGGTAAATCATAACAACAATATATACATATATATATATGTATATAACTGAGAGTACATAACTAAGTTTCCTTGAGAAACTTGAACAAATAAAGTGTCGCTTATTTGACGAGTATAAATCCAATTTGTCTAAGTTGTTTAATGATTGTTTTTGGGTTAGAATAATAGCATGACAATTTCTATGTGCCCTGGTCTCTTGTTTATGTTCTTAAGTCTTTAAACTCTCCTTAAACTCATGATGGACTAAAGAGTCAAGTGTAAATATTGGAAATTTAATAACAAAACTAATAAATGGTGACATTTTTATTTGATCGTTGATTCGACGTCTTTGTTAAATCTATACTTTAAGAAACCGAGATAAATGTAATTTGAAAGCTATTGAAAAGAAATATTTAATTTATAAAAACATGTTATCTTATAGCATATAAGTAGTATGTTACACATAGGAACTGGAAACGACAACACCTTTGCTAAGGGTATAGAAAAGTGCAGAACATGCATTGCGTTGTTCGTAAAACCAAATTCAAAATACCAAGCATTGCGACACTGCAGACAGCTAGGACTCGAATGGCCTCATGAAGTTTTTGTGTTTGACGCAAAAATATTCATAGGAACCCACAATAAGCGGATGGCAGCCAAAGCCAACGACTCTTGTCCATTTGTTTGTCTCAAACATACACGCACACGAGCAAATACACACACACACACACACACACACAGACAGACTCATTTCTTTAGCGATTGGTGTTTATTTTCAAAATTTTGATCACGTTCCCTGGCCAACTGACTCTCGAGGAGCCAATGCATGGGCATGGATGAAAGCTACTTTGGTCTTTGTTCGCTCGCCAAGCAGAAGGCTAACAGCTTTTGGGTTATGTCAGCGTGCGCTCAAATTATTCCCATTCATGCGATTTCGAACATGTTGGCCAGTGTAAATTTAACATCTGACTGATCCAACAGAAAATAAGCTGTTACGAGAAATAAAAACAAGTCAAAACACTATTGTCAAGAATACACGACTAGTCAATACCCTAACCCAGTTCTGTATAGCCGTAGTATAGCCGCAGACACTTGACATCTCGTGCTTGTGGAATTTACATGCTTATTGCTTAAATAAACAAAGAGGAAACGATAGAAGGTAAAAACTGAATAATTCGGGAACCTGCGTTCCGAATTTGATGCGTCGCCTATTGATCTGATGTCGTCGCCTTCATATAGATAGAAAGATGGATGGAAATTGTTACACCTGCCGCCTGGCAGTTGCACTTCTTATTAAACCAATTTGTTTGTCCCAAAAAGGGTATGACAAGAAATTAAATTACGCATAAAAAACGCTAAATACAAATTTGCATATACAATATCACTGATGCACTTTTTAACCTGCTGTCACTTAAATGGACGTCGAATGACTGGTAGTCACAGATTCGTCTGCACTTAAAGCCCACATGCGACAGCACAGACCCAGCCCAACCGAGGAGTGCATAAATATTTACAGCCTTTTTTAAAATGAATCGTGGCGGAGCTAAATTTGTGCTTTTGCACTTGGAGAAAATATGGACATAATTTCAAATGCAATTTAAATTTCACTTGGAATGCAATAAAATTAAATGAAGAAAAAGAAAATGACAAATAAATAAATAAGTCAAAAATATAAAAGTAACGTCCACGCTTTCATAGAATTTTTGAATATTATTGAAATTTGAAACAAGTTCCAATATAAAAAGAATTGCAACAAATGTATCATTGTGTTATATTCTTTATTAAAATTGGGCAAGAATTGTAAAAAAATCTTCTGAGTGTTATGCAACTTAAATTCGAAAGGTCCTTCATGTAATTTCAAAACATAAATAAATTAATGCTGAACGGGCTAAAAATCTGTTTAGGAGTGCGATATTGTCAAATCGACAGTCACCAGTTTTTAATTTTAGTCCAATTTAACTTGAATCGTCCATCAAATTTCGCGCATAAACTTTTATATGACAGCCATATTTCTTCAGTGTGCTTGCCCCCAAAGTGGCACCTGCCAACGTTCACAGGATTTTGTGGGGGCAGTATGTGAAAATGCAATTAAGCTGTAAATATGGGCTTATATGTATGGAACGCAGATCGCTTGGCATGATAACAGTGCGATAGCTTTGCAAAATTGTAAAAAAAAAAGTATTCGTGATGTATATGCGTTAAAAAATTGGTGTATCATAATCAACGCACAGGCAAAATAAAGTGCAAGTCACATGAGAGAAGCGGAGGAAAAAGGAAACCAGGAAACGGAATATTGCGAAAACATGTGTTAAGGAACTGTGCCGGAGTACAACTTGATAAAAAATGAATGAATGAATGAAATGAATGCTCTCTCATGATTGCTAAGCTTAGCGAGTTATCAGACCTGAGTATCGGCACTATCAAATAAAAAATTATTATTCTTTTACATTCGGATTGTTATGACTCTCATAACACTTTCGTAGTAACTGCTGGCATACTCCTGAATCTTTAGCGCCACTTAAACACTTCTAATATTAATGTTATTGGAAATTACGTCCACTCCAACACTATGATGGATGTCAATGTCAAGTAAAAATACTGCTTATCATTGGCAATGACATGCCTCCTCAGTTGCCCCGATTGGAGGCGAAAGCTAACGCCTACCGCAACTGGCTGTCAACATTTTGTTGCTGTTGTTGCTGCTGCTGCTGTACCCTTTAGCTGAAGTGACACGTAGCTGCAGAGCAGCCATCAACTTGAGCTGATGCCTCATAAATGAAGGTTTCTTGGCGGCAGGATGACGTGGCTGGGGAACTCTCAGACTCGTCGCTGGCTATGGCTGACTTGGCAACTGTAAACGAGTCATAAATACGAGTACATGCTACGGTATTTATATCTTTTTATGTATCTCAGTTCGTGCAACAATTCATGAAATATTAAATACGCTTTGTGTTTGAACAGGCAGCAAGGCGGGCGCTAAGGCAATGTTGAAATTAAATGATACCAAATAATGTGATTATTGCCCGCCGTCGTTGTTGTTCCCGTTGTCATCTTTACTGCTTTGTTGTCAGCTGAGCTGAGGACAATGACTCGGCTGCACTTCAATCTTCTGACTGATGTAGCTGCCGGTTCCACTTGGGCACGCCTGATTGAGCACAAACACAAATATGTGTAAGGACGTGTGTGTATGTGCGCACATTTTATGATTTAACCGCTTTGGTGCTCTTCCTGGTTTTTTCTTCTTCCATTGTGCTTGGTTTTATTTTGTACATATAGACATTAGCCAATGAGGAGGAAAATCAAAAGACAAATGGCAGCAAGGACCTTTGAATCGCGATGCTTTCACCAATTAGGTGCCTGGTCATGTGCATTGTTCATATTGCAATGCAACGGTTTATCATACATAATCAGGCCATGCACTAATTAAACACGCACACCACCACCACCATCGTCAGTAGCACCACAAGCCCAACGGCTTTCTTATACAGATACGTACACACATACATGCTCATACTCGTATAGCAACAACACAACAGCATCAGCATCAGCATCAGAATCAGCATCAGCGCCAGCAGCAGCGACAAGAGCTCAACGGGTCATTTCGCAATTAAGCTGCAGTCGTAGTAACAGCAGCAGCAGCAGCAGCAGCAGTAGCAGTATTGCAGTCATGTATGCGTCTCTATAGCATTCTGTTACTCCGATCCGCACCCGAAACCCGACCATTTTTCCGCCTGATGATGATGAATGAGTTAAGCGACTGTTGCCTTGTAGCTGCCCATCTAATGAGATACTTTTTCTGCGAAAATGCGGATGCTGCTCTGAGAGCATTCAAAGAGAGAGGAAGAGAGGAAGGGAGATTTGAAAATCATGCGATGTCTCGTCTCAGCTCATCTCATCTCATTCCAGTTGCGTTTCAACTGTGTAATCTTTGTCATCCTCTCTATGTATCTATATCTTTTGCTATCTGTTATGTGTGTATATACACACACACACACACACACACACACACACACACACACACACATACATACACAACACATGCGTGCCTAGGCACTAATTGCGTCTAATTGAATTGCAATTGACCGTGAGTTGGCGTATTTTTCACTCGTTTTTGCCGACCGACCGCCAACGACGACGGTCCCGCTTAATGAAGATTTACGCAGCTGCTTTGATTTGTGTCAACAAAGACGACGCCGGCTACGGCAACGGCAACGGCATTTCAACAGATACACATTCATGCCAGGCCTTCCGTCAAACATTTAGTCTTGGCGCCAGTGGAATTGTCATTGGCACAACAACAAAATCGAGGGCGACAGCAATTGTAGGTATATATCCATTCTTGCGCATATAATTGATACAGCTCGTTCTGGATTGGCTATGTCCAAGTTGGTAATAATTTAAATTCCATCATTTTTCACCTTTTTCGCGACCTTACCAATAAAATGTCTATCAATTCCATATCAATGTAAAACAAGAGTATATTTTTTCCACAAAATCGATAAATATTTCGTGCTAAGGCTTTTAAATTTATGAATTTATATTTCTTTTTATTATTTCTTTTATATTATTCAATAGCAGCTATTCTCCTGCTGATTGAAGTTTGGCGAAATAATTTGTTAAGATGCAGTTGTTGTCCCTCTGCCTATTGCAGGCAGTTCATCTTATTGCTGCAATAATCATTACGATTGTTGTCATCCTCCGTGCCACTTCCCCGACCACCTCTTCAACCATTTCTTCCGCCATTGCCACCACAACCAAGGTTTTTGCATTTTTCAACAACGTTAGCCTTTGCGTTTTATTTCGTTTTCCACTGTTTTCATCGGCGCTATCCCTTTTTCCCTGCACCTTCTCCACCCTGACTAACATCCTGACCACCACCACGACCACCTCGTCCCCCGTTTCCAGCGCCATCTTCGCCATCTTGACCTCGTCTTTGATCGTCTTTCTTGTCGCGTTCGCTTTTATTTTCATTACCGCTCTCCTTGCTTTTCCCGCCACCATCACCGCCACGACCTCCACCACCGCTTCCACCTGCACCACCCTTACCACCGCAAGCTCCTCCTTTTCCATCCTTACACCCGCCACCACCATCTTGCCCATCCTTACCCCCGCCACCGCCGCGTCCACCATCGCCACCCTTTCCAGTCCCTGCCCCAGTTAAGACCAGTCTAGACATTCCTAAGGTAATTTTTATAGTTTCCAAATTTGAATTATTTGGACAGAAAACCCGAATTAAAATTATGTTAAAATATCAACCTTACTCCACATGAATACAGATGAGAGCATCTTTTATCTCTTCAACTTTTTAACTTATTTGGTGAAGACATGATATAAAAATCTTAGCTATAACAGTAAAACTGAGCTATGCTAAAAAGTTTGATTATTGATTAGAGTTCTGAAGATTCTTTATCACATCCTTTTACATTTAATTATAATATAGCTTTTCAAAGACAAAATATTCGTTAGTATTATGTTGAGATACTGATATTTAATACAGACAATCAAAATTCGTCACCACAGTTAAACGCCTTTTCTTTTCGCAAATTAACAACTTATACGGCCAAAAGTTTTACCAACAAAGTTCGTCGAAAGTTGCCAAGCACCTGGTCCCTCACCTTTGTCTGGCTAACACAAAGTTGCACGACTTGTGGCTGGAGGCGACTTAAAGAAAATATGAAAAATCGATTGGAGCAAAAAAAAAAAAAGTTGTGAGCTTTTCAATTTTATGCAGCGCCGGTCTTGCTGTTCGCCTGCATCCAAAATTTATGTTTACAACTTGCACGCAAAAATAAAAGTTGTATTTTTATGGCGAGCGCAGAAAGAATGAACACTTTTTCATGCAATACAATAAAATATTGTTGCAATGTTGGGCGTGCTAGAAAAGTGTCACTGATATGTCAAACTAACAAAACATAAAACGGACATAAACAAAAATCAGGCTAAACATAGTCATACGGCCACAACACAGCTACAGGCCAAGCTTCGGCCTTACCACAAAAGGAGCGCAACCACACCCAGGCCAGGATAGCTATTTTAAGTTATCTGTGCAAACTTGGTAAGTGGTCGGTGGTCTTTGGTTGGTGGAGGTGCCGGGGTGTGAGAGCGCTTGCCAGCGGCTGCGTCACTGCTTCTCACTTGTTTGTCTTTGCTTAATCTTTTGATAGAAATTTGTATAGCAAAGTTGTACTTTGGACCTTCGCCACGCCCCGTGGCCCGTGCGGTCTACCTTTTGCGTTGGTTTTGCTGTGTAAAGTTTTGCGCATTGGTTTCACAATGAAGAGCAACAACAATTACTTGGCACACGGTGTTTTTCTTGCCATTGAACTTACAGGTGAGGCAGGTGCGGTTCAAGTTTGCAACAGATCAGCACGACAGCAGCAACAACATCATTATCATCATCGTGAAATTGTCATCATCATTATCGCAGTGCCTTGTCACTGTTTCTGCTTAGCTTGAGCTTCTCTTATAATTTACAATCATGTCCTGTAAACTTTGATCCTGATTTACACACTCCCGATGCTGATGTCGGCATTTGCTTTGTATCCACGCCCTCACGTGCCCTGCCGCTCATTGTGTCTCTTGTTATTTACAACGTGCCCAAACCGGCAACAGCAACACAGTTAATTTGGTGCCCCAATGGCTTTCATGCGGCGTGCTAGGCGGCGGGCGTATACTTAATAATTGGGTGGTCAACGGACTTTCTACATAATTATATTCGCCACATGTGACATTTGAAACCAAAGGCGACATAATGTGTTGCTTGAGCTCTTGGCTGAATTTGTGGCGCACTTAGTCGGATTTAAGTGTTGTATCTAGACAGCGAAATAATAAAATAAAATCTTCTGAGTACTTTAAGTTTATGTCTGTTATTTTTGATTTTTTTGCCCAATTGATTTTACATAGTTGATATAGGTATAGACATATTTTAGATTAAAAACTATTTAATGTATTATCTCTAAATGCAATATATCTAAACTAAAATTAAGCCAGAGAGTCCATGTGTGTGAATGCTGTTGCACATTACTTTTTCACTTAAAAGTTCAAAAAAATATAAGTTTTATGTATGCGTATATATATATATGTATATAGTAAAAGTAAAATTGTTTGTTCTTTTAAAGACATCTTTCCCAAAAAGTGTTTAAAGATTCAAATTCGATTAAATCCAAATATAAATTTAGCTCAAGTTTTGATTCAATGGATATTATTGATAAATCCTACTTGGTTATTCACCTTCTCCATTGCCAATGGTAAGTGCTCCTATCCGATACACAGAAAATACACGATTCAACATTTACTCTCTTGCGAAGACAACAACCAGCATTGGCACCTGTGAAATACACCTTAAAGTATTTATAGTGCAGAGATATGGCCGCAAATGTATAATTAAAACATAACTCATTTGCTTGACAAGAAAAACTACTGTCATTAACATTTTCTTCGAATTTTTCCTTATCTTGACTTATTTTTTGGGCAATTGTTTTATGTTTCTGCCGACTCATTTAATTGGTTTAAGTTGAAAGCACTCCTGCTGTCAACTTTCACTAACAACATTCAAGTTTTTATTTGACATGCAAATGTTAAATGAATTTTGGCCAATTAATCAGAGACACAATCTCATACACGAACACACACGCACACACGCAGCGGTCGCTATTGCAACTTTTGGCCTGGCAAGGCGCTGCTGAGCCCGACAGCGCAGTGCTGCACGCCCCGAAGCGCAATTGTCAGTGAACTTTCACAAGTTGCCACTGCAAGTGGATGGAAATTTTCATTGCAATTAAATTTAGCACAAAAAGTTTGCCAAAAAAAAGGTGGTGTAACTGTCAGTGGCAGAGAGTGAAGTGCTCGCCAAAATGTTGCCATTTGCATTGCCACTTAAACACACATAAAGGCAGCGTCAGATGGGCGGGCCAGGCACACACACACACACATACGCAAACATTTGAAGACACATACGTGTAGCTGTCGGTCGCCGGCACGCAAATCGAGTCAAGTTGAATAGGCGGAAGTAGAGCAAGAAATGCGATTGCCAAATTGAGTTGAAGGTTTCGCTTGACTGTGTTTTGTTTGGCCAACTCCTTTAGCTCAGTTGCGCCCTTTGCTGTCTCGCAGTAACAGTCGCAGTTGCAGTCGTAGTTGCAGTCGCATTGGCTGTCGCTAGCGTTCACAAGGCACTTGGCACTTTGCTGCAATTTTGTAGTTTTGATAAAATTTCGCAAGCATATTAAAAAGTTTTTCGCAACTTCGTTTTTACTTTTGCACATGCCACACGGCCACTAGGGGCGGGCGTGTCACACCCTCCGCGCCACACATGCCAGTGACAGGCAAAGGCGGAAGCTGTGCCAGCCACGGCTTGTTTGCTGCCAAAAAATAAAAAGCTGCCAGCAGCGCACTTTGCTTTGCTATTTAATTTTGCAGCTCAAAGGCTTCGCAAACTAAGTAGAAGGCACAAGGAGACATTTTGAATGATGAAAACTTTTCAAGTTGTTTATGTACGACTGAGACAACAAAATTGAGTTTGCACTAAAACTATGCTTTAAACAAAAACAATAATAATAATAATAACAAGATTTAACTAATTAACGCACCCAGCCAATGTAATTTGCAATTATATGCTCATAAATTCAACGATAATAGCCACAAAATTAACTTAAACTAAAGCACACTTGTTTATATATACATATGTGTATAGCTTTTATTTTATTTATTTACAATATTGTTGGCGTTTATAATGCATATAAATATGTTTAAATATGAATAATGCCTGCTGTAGACTATTCCAAATATTGCAGTTATTATTGCGCTGCAACGCGATGTTTGCGGCAATTAAACTCAATTGAGTGTTGCATACTTCTGTGCGCTGCCAGCCCCATTTTTCGTTGGCGCTGCATATAAATTAAATGTTGCTTTAGTATGTGTGCGCCAACAAAAGCGAATTCAATTTTACATGACAAAACAACAAAATGTGCATCATTGAAAAACCAACGCCTACTTCCTGCCACGCCCAGCAATGGCCCGGGGAGACCTTCGAGGAGACAATAGCTTTAAATTGCTCGATTTAAGAGGCTTTCGGAAAGTGAAGCTTTTATATACATATACATATCTGTGCTTGACAGGCAAAACTGTCGTCTTGGAAATGTTGACCTACTTGAGTGGGAGACTTAACTCTTTTTGGCCCCAACTGACTGAGCCATTATATGTGCACGTCTTTTAAAGGGTCTGTGATTGTTTGAGAGATTGTTATAAATGGCAAAATCTAAGGACATGTAAACACAATTTAATCATTGTTGTTCGATGGCATCGCTAAGGCTTCAAAAACATTTGCCGAGCATGAACCTGAGCTTTAATTACTTTTTGGTCTTCCATTCAAATGCCACGACCCAGACACAGTGCCCTGGCAAATACTCTTGGCCAGTAGCTAAGTATTACAGCCAACTGTAAAATATGGCAAATTCGATATGTAAACGTTTGTTATGCTCGCCAAATGACAACAAAGAGGCAAACATCCTTTATGTCCGGAGCTTTGCATGCCAAAAGCAAACTGCTATTAGAAACTGCATTTTTTGGTGGAGCCGTAAATTACGCTTGTATTGTGTTTATTCACGGGACTTAGCCATACTGCCTGCCATTGACACGCACACTCATACACACAAAGAGATATGCCCACACACGCGCATTGTTATTGTCTGAGGCTTGTCTGCCTGTGCGGCAAAAAATGGAGTCATAGCTCCGTGTATTAGTTTACTGGTAAGCTTATGCGCTCTATTTCACACACAGATACGCACACACACACAATAAAAATGATTGCATTGGCAAACGCTGACAGGCTGAAACGCGCGTTGCTGCCTGCATATGATGGATGAGCTTGGAGCTATGAAGCATATGTGACATTTCAAATACCAACATCCAACACACGCACTCACATATAAATTCACACACACACACACACACACACACACACACACACACAGAAACACAAACGAGCGTAGGGCCAAAGCTTATGTGCCAAAAAATGCATCGAACAGTGGAATGAGTTACGGGTATTCGAGGAGTCACGAGTTTTTATTGAAATTGAATTGTTGATAAGTTTCGTCAACAAAAGGTTCGACCAATTCCCACATCACACACAGCGATAAAAAGAGGAATAGAAAAATGAACTCTCCTACACAAGCACAG